GATGGAAGGGGTCGCCATGGCAACCTCTGCCCTTGATCCCAGCTGATGCAGCATCTTTACCGAGCGTGTCCCCTTCCCCCGATCCCCAGACACACGTGTTAAAAATAGACTCAACTGACACCGCGGCTCCTGTGACGTGAGGCGTTATGAAATGGGAAATGTTTTCCTCAACACTGAACACGTTGACACCAGGATGCATCCACATATAGCTTCATTCTCAAGAAATGAATTGCACTTTTATCAGATGTGTTTAAAATGATGCATGTATGAGATGATGACTCTGTCAGTCTTCTAAAAAATCTAAGTTTTATTCTAGCTCACATGGCGGTCGCCATGTTGAGATCATGTGACCAGACCATTTTATCAGCTTTAAAAGCCTATTTGAAATCCACCTGCTATTCATCACCATTTACTGAAGCACAGCCCTCACAGTCTCAGTCTGGTGCCAGATGCTCATCAATCATGAACAAATCACTGCACTTTAGTGAACATCCTCAGACACGATGGCCATTAGAGCGAGTGCAGCTCATGGGAAAAACACATCTCAATGACAATCTCAAAACATCTGTGGTAAGAGCTCACTGTCTTTATAATGCAACCATATTCTGACTAAATAGTGTATTTAAGTTGTATTAAATGTAATATTGTTTTGTGCAGGTCCATGAGGTCCCAGAATATGTTAGTGTTATCTATATATCTATCTATACGTTATGACCGATATGCAAATACAAATTATTTTTCTTATCATATAACCAATGAGCAGAACTGATTATTTTTATCATTTTATATCGACTTTTGGCACAATAATAACGAAAATCATTAGACTACAATAATGAAAAAAACAACATTATGAATTTTTGCTAATATTTATGCTATGAATAATATAATAAAATAATAATAAATTATATGCATTGCTCACTCACGAATGAATGCAAGCAATACATTAAATAAGTTACGTTATCTGTGAACACTGTTTCTTACTGAATGCACATTGTGTAAAACAGTCGATGGGTGGTTTGCTCTAGAGACCCACCAGATGGTGCCATTTATTGGTAGAATGAATAATCTATGAAGCAGAAAAGTGCAAAAATCTGTTTAAAAAATCGTCACCTTCCCTATAAATCTGTAATAAACCACTCAAACACATGCATTTATATGCATATACGATATGCAATGGCACTGTGACTCTTTATAAAAAAAAAAGAAAGAAAAGAAAAGGTGCTTCAGTTTCAGTTGTGGCTTCACATTCAGTTCTGCTTGAGAGACCAGAGAAGAAACGAATTAACTAATGGTTCAGAGAGTTACTGTGATTTTTAAAGTAATCACCAAAAAAAATTGTTTTAGCCCAACATAATTGATTATTGATCTTATATAAGATAAATCCCTAAACACGTGAGAAACTCCTGACAAAGTAACAAAATAACATGTTTATAATGAAAACAATGAGAGAACAGAGAACAATGGCAGATGACACAATGAGCTCCAGATGTGCCTCATATGATACACCTGGAAGTTCGGATCATGTTTTAGTGGATTTGATCATGTTTTGGAGAACAGCTGTCATTCAGCACCGTCCCAACCAAGCCACACAAAGAAAGAAAGTCGCTCAAGGCTGCTCAACGCCCAGGAAAAGAAAAACGCTCAGCTCGATGCCTTCGAGAGAAACGCTGTTACATTGTAACGCGCAGAGAAACGCTGTTACATTGTAACGCGCAGAGAAACACCGTTACATTGTAACATGCAGAGAAACGCCGTTACATTGTAACACGCCGAGAAACGCCATTACATTGTAACGCCCAGAGAAACACCGTTACATTGTAACGCGCAGAGAAACGACGTTACATTGTAATGCCCGGAGAAACACCGTTACATTGTAACGCCCGGAGAAACGCCGTTACATTGTAACACGCAGAGAAACGCCGTTACATTGTAACGCCCGGAGAAACACTGTTACATTGTAATATGCAGAGAAACGCCGTTACATTGTAACACGCAGAGAAACGCCGTTACATTGTAACGCCCGGAGAAACACCGTTACATTGTAATATGCAGCGAAACGCCGTTACATTGTAACACGCAGAGAAACGACGTTACATTGTAATGCCCGGAGAAACACAGTTACATTGTAACGCCCGGAGAAACACCGTTACATTGTAATATGCAGCGAAACGCCGTTGCATTGTAACACGCAGAGAAACGACGTTACATTGTAATGCCCGGAGAAACACAGTTACATTGTAACGCCTGGAGAAACGCCGTTACATTGTAACACGCAGAGAAACGGCGTTACATTGTAACGCCCGGAGAAACGTCGTTACATTGTAACAAGCAGATCAGTGAGACTTTCAGTGACACAAAGTTTCATATTAAACCGTCAAATCAGTTACACGAGGGAGAGAATCAGTGTCCTTGATGAAACACTGATATATTGTATGCCAAACCACATATTAGACGCATAATCTGTGGAGAGAAAATACACTTGCGAGAGAATTAATATGCGTGATTTTAAGAATAAACGGTAAATGCGTGTAACGGTGCTTTAATAATCATCAGTATCATGCTGTCATGACGTCCCTGCGGCCCTGAACGCGCACTGTCGGAATAACTACAGCTCCAGTGTGAGCAACATAACAGCGCTCATTCATTTCAAAGCAAAATGCAACTGAGCGCTTGTGTATGTCGAGTAATGTTTCAGTGCAGCATGCTTTGAGTGTGAGTCAAGCGCTTACCGTGTTTGCCGTGTCGATGTCCCCGACGGAGCTTCTGTGCAGCGCGAGAGGACAGACTGAAGGAGAACGCGGCGGGGGGTGCGTCAGTCGCGCATGCGCAGCACGCAGCCTTTTCCTATTTTTCCTCCTCGATTATGTAAATATATATGATATTTAACTTTATTTCGCAACTCTTAATGAAAAACACATTATTATTCACCCATATCTGTGCAAGCTGACTGAATGAATTAGCGCATAAAGACTGTAACGATTGCATAAATGTCCTTTAATTTCTCAGATGCTGAATATATATAAAGATGAAGACAATAAGCACATATTGAACTAAATATATAATAATTCCAATACTGCTACTAAAAATCTTATGTATTGTGTATATATATTATAAATGCGTGATTTTAATACACACACACTTGTATATTTTAATACATAGAACAATAAATGCAATAAACAATACAATTATATATATATATATATAAACACATATAGTGTATATAGTATACTATACTTATTATATATTCCAGTAATACTACTAAATAATCTGGTTAGCGTATTTATTGTAATATGATGTTATGTAAATGTGATTATGTGTGATGATAGATGGATGGATGGAGAAGGTACAATGTAACAGCTTATGTTGCAAAACCGCTGCTGTCTCTTTAAGACGTTGCCATGGTGACGCTTTGCGCTTGTTGCTAATGCGTCATCAGTCTGCGTGTAGCCGAAGAATAAAGCAAGTACCGCGCAGTATCCGCACGATTATCAAAGAATTAAGGGTTTAATTAAAGGTAAGCGTCTTCAGGAGCTCATTCTCATTATATATGTTACTGACGGTGTTTACTAACGGCGAGAGTTCATGCAGGGCCACAATCTGTGATCAGATCAATTAAAATGCATTATGCACCTCAATTAGGCATGCTTGCTAAAAGCTAATATTAATGAGTGCGTGTTTATTTTGTGGTAATTAATTACCTGTTGACCTGCTGATCATTAGATGGATATTAAATGCATTCTGGTCTGAATGTTAAACACTTAATATATGCATATCTAATATAATATATATCTATTATAATATCGCCTAAAATTAATAATTAAAGACAAATTAATAATAATTATATTAACTTAAATTATATTAACTCTGAATATTAAGAGCGTTCTGGTCTGAATATAAAATATATTGATAAATACTATAAAAATAATCTATATAATTCTAAATAAAATATAGTAATTATATTAACTTTTAAAATATTAAATTATATTAACTCTGAATATTAAGAGCGTTCTGGTCTGAATATAAAATAATTAATATATAATGTAAATTATTTAAACTTTTTAAAAATATTAAATTGTATTAACCCCATTTGCAGAGTATCTTTCGTACAAAATGCATTATGAAACAAGTTTGATTTTAAGTTTTATTTGTTGGCTGCATTTACTCTGCTTATATTTTCATATACTAGATGAATTAAACTTGTCCTAAACTCCTCCGCAGCAGCACCGCCGCAGCAGTATGTGTGAAGGGCCCTCAGCGATCTCTGGTCCCATTCCTCCAGACCCCACACTGTTTCCTGAATATTACAAACGCCCGTCCTCTGGTAAGATTGAAACCGTGAGGCTTACTTCATTTTGCATGTGTGATGCTTCATCTCATCTCTCTCTGTTGTCTTGATGAAGCTCGTGGTCGGCTGGAGGGGAACGCTCAGAACGGCTCGTCTCCTCTTCTGAAGGGTCCGTTAGCACCAGATCCTGGGTGTTACAGCGCCCGCTGCACCCCTCGACCCCGCATCGGTGCCAACGCCGCTCACATCCTAGAGAGAGGACAGAGAGGGGTTGTGGGAGACCTGCTGAAGCTGGAGGGAGTGGCGCTGAACCCCAGTCCAGCCAAACCTAGTAAGATCAGAATACATGGCTGCATAAAAACAGCAAAATTGTGAAATATTATTACAATTTCAAATAGCTGCTTTCTATGTAAAAATCTGTTCAAATGTAATTTATTTCTGTGACTTAAAGCTGTATTTTCAGCATCATTACTCCAGTCTTCAGTGTCACATGATCTTCAGAAATCATTCTAATATGCCGATTTGCTGCTCAAGAAACATTTCTGATTATTATCCATGTTGAAAACAGTTGTGCTGCCGAAAATATTTTGTGGAAACCGTGATACATTTTATTTTTCAGGATTCTTTGATGAATAGAAAGTTAAAAAGAACAGCATTTATTTGAAATAAAGAAATAAATGTCTGCTTCCTCTATCTCCTCCATGCTCTCCTTTTCCAGAACCTGCCATACGGGACTTTGGTAAAGAAAATGTTCGCAAGCTACGTGAAATCCAAAAGCGCTTTCGAGAGCTGGATGCGCAGAGAGAACATGCCAAACCTATGCCGGTTAAAGCACTCTGGATCGCTCCAAAATACCAGGACGTCTCCTCCAGGGTAATGGCCCAGTTACAGGTGAGCAACTCATTTTTTCACATTATTCCCTTGGTCATTTCTAAATAGTTCAGTGCAGTAGCAGTGAGGTACTTTCTAGAGTTAGAATTTGATGTTAGACAAATAAACAAATGCAGAGTCTAAACATGCAACTCATTTATTTAAGTCTAAATGATTACTGTGCTTCTTTATTGTTAACTAAATCTAAGACTATAAAAAATTATTTTCATGAATTGAAATAAAGTTGAAATTAAATTAAATATAAATATTAGATGAATAACTTAAACTTAGTATAAAAGTATAAGCAATGCATTGGTAACTAATTGAAATGAAATAAGTTTAAGCTGAAGTTCTAAAGCTAAATAAAAATATTTTAAAAATACAAATGACAAAAGCACATAACACAATTACTTAAACTAAAATTACAATGAAAATGGAAAATATAAAAATAAAAGCTAATTCAAAATATTTTGAAGTATATATATATATATATATATATATATATATATAACTAATATAACACTTCTACTGTATTTTCATATTAAATGTCTTCACTATAGTTTCCTAAAAGAAAATATTTTGTTTTTCTTCATTGCAAAAATCCACATTTCAACCTCATAATGTCTCTTGCCCTGTTTACACTTAGTTATTAACATAAATTTTGTATGATGTGTTTGAAATGGGACAATGCAAAATACCATGGTCCAGAATGCTTTTAAACCACATTTTAAGGTGGTCAAAACTATTTTTGAGCACACTGTGCTAGTAATTTAAACACTAATCGACCCTGATGCGTCCTGGACTGCCTACTTTCCTGTCAGTCAACAATAGTGAAGCGCCGCCTACTTACCTATCAGTCAAC